GTTGTTTTTCAGAGGTTTGATGACTAGTGTATCCCAAAAACAAATATATAAAAGGGATCAGTTTTATCATTTGTATCCAATTACAAGTTGAGGCAATAAATTAATATTTAACAGAGCTTAAATTTTAAATTAAATTTAGGATTTTGGAGAACTAACAGATTCTCTTATCAAAACCAGACTGGTTTGTGGCATTAATCTCAGTTGGAAGGAATGATACCTGCAGAGCAAAACTAAAATTTCGGAAAAAAATAGAAGTAAATAAAGAAGCAGTGAGCAGCAAACTAAGGTTTTGTTTACATGGGAACATTTTTCTAGTTTAACATAAGGTTTGAATTTAAACCGATACATCAGTATAACCTCCAATGCAGACACACTTATTCCAGTATTAGGCTAAGAGTGCCTTTTTCATTTCAGTTTATGTTACTTGTCAAGGGGTTTAAACTAAACCAAAAAAAGCCACACTTATACTGAAATAAGTGTGTCCACATCGGAGGTGAGGATTTATACAGGTATAACTATATTAATATAACTGGTAAAACTTTCCCACATAGATGAGCCCTTAGACAGAAGATGGTGTGTGTGAAATGTACAGTGTCTGAAATAAGTGTTCACATATGACAACACTTAGAATTACAGCAACAGAAACATTTTGCAAAAATGTGCAAAGCAAGAAATGTGATCTCAATCAAACAACATGCCCTCATTTCCTGAAAGAATTCCTCAGAAATCCATGACAACTTGTGGTTATTGTAATTAATCACACACAGTACCTACAGCATCAGAGTTCTCAAAATCAATAGCACCAAAGTAGAGAATCTTATTTTTCAGTGAGTTAAAATAAAAATTCTCAACAGATAGTGAAGTGGGCTGCTTTTGCATCGAAAAGGTCTGCCAAATTCCACCAGGGGGTAGTATTACACATACACTGATGCTGATAACTTACTGTGATGTTATATATCTTTTCCTTGCAATTTTTTTCTAGTTTGAGAATGAAATTGACTGGATCTAGTTTGATTCTCGGAGTTAAATTTTTAAATAACTATGCCAGATGGAATTAACTGGGCTGAGCACAGTTTTCTCCATGTGCCATTTGGTTCAAGGCTGAGTCAGTTAAGGAATCCTGAGCGCGTAAACTGCTAACAAAAAGACTAAAACTTCCTTAAACATTGGGATTTGAGGTAGACAAAGATCCAACAGTAGTCTTTTAGACTTGTGGGTACCAGCAACATACATGTTCCCCAATCATACTGTAAAGTCAGTTACTGATCATTTGTAATAAAACTGTGCTGAAAGGACAATATATATGAAATGACCCTATCAGGATGGCTAGCGAGACATGCAGCCAACCTTCATCTAAGTTTTTCTTGAGAGAGAAGGGGAGAGACTGAGTCTGAGGAGATAAGAAAGCAGAGATACTGAGTCCTGCTGTTTGAGGTGGGGGCTTGCTTAACTCCGCCCAGGATGTAAGGGGGGCTGGAGTAACTCACTATACAGAGGCACCTTGAATCTGAGACAGAGAGAACCGAGGTGTGGACTGAGCAATCCTGAATGAGGTACATTAGAAGCAGCCACACCTGGAGAGAAGGCTTAGGTTGAACTCTGTTATTAGCTAAATTTCAAAATGAAAGGCCATTTCTAAACAAAAAGTTGAAACATTTTGTTCATTTCATTTGTTTTAAAATGTTTTCTTTCAGAAATGTTGAAATGAAACATGTTACTATTTCCAATTTTTGTTCGTTTGTTTTTGGTCAAAACTATTCACTGAATTCTACCCAAATTTGCAAATAGTTTTGCTTCCCCAATAAAGGTATTTTTAGTGAATTTACTATTTGCCAAAAAGAATTCACCCAGTTCTACATAAGAGTAGCTGCTACAGTATCAGGTTGAGGGAGGTTGTGGAATCCCTGTCACTGGAGATTTTTAAAAATAGGCTAAACAAACATATGTCAGGGATGGCTGGATTTATGTGGTTTTGCCTCAGTGCAGGGGGCTGGACTAGATAATTTCTTGAGGTCCCTTCAAGCCCTACATTTCTATGATTCTATATTTCACAATTATGTGCTTTATAAAATTATGACATTTTCAAAGCTAAAAAACCACTTTGCTTCATAAACAAATTCCAGTAAAATCATGCTAACTTGATTTGGGAGAGCAATTATAGATTGTTCCCTTAGTGAATTAGTAAGTGAGAAAACAAGCACATTTAAAGAATTAAAGATTTTGGTTATGAAATCTTTGCTGAGAAGTGCTTATTTTTGGTAGAGAATTGAGAATTCACAAGCTTCTGTACCTACAAGATTTTTTTTAAACACAGACCAGGTCTACACTACAGGCCTATATCGATATAACTATTTCACTCAGGGGTGTGAAAAATCCATACCCCTGAGCAACATACTTATATTGACCTTAACCACTGTGTAGATAGCTCTATGTCAGATGGAGAGCTTTCCTGCGGACATAGCTACCACCTTTCGGGAGGTGGATTAACTACGCTAACAGGAGAAGGTCTCCCATTGGTGTGGTAGAGTCTTCACTAAAGAACTACAGCAGCACAAGACAAGCTGACAGTGTTATGTTGTAAGATGTTAATGGCTGCCATCAAGCAGGCCTTTGTTCTCTAGAGGTCACAAAACTGGTTAAAACTTGTGGGTGTGCACTTTTGTTTCAGGCTAAATAGAAGGCGCAATTAATCCCCTTAATGTAGTGAGATAGTTGGAAACAATAGAAGATACTGCCCAAGGCAATGGATCATGTGGCAAGGCCTCATCAGAGGCCAAGATGTGTGGGCTCAGGGGTTCCCTGATCTCAGACACAGGGAGTAAGGAATTGTTTGGCAAGCTGTGTGTGTAAAAGAGGCAAGAAGCCAGGAGAAAACCAATAGGAACCAAAAAGAAAACCAACAGAGAGGAAAAAAAGCAGTTGTGAATGTGGTCCTGAGAGGGAGCAGAGAGACAGAGTTCCTTGGGCACGGAATGCACTGGAAAGGCAGGTTTGAGGATTTCTGAGCAAGGAAACTGCCTGCAGTTGTTTGTTTCCTCTGTGTACAGGGAAGCAGGACTCTGTACATTCTTTGTAAATAAACAGGATTGCATCAAGGAATATACCTGACTCCTATAATCAATTTCTCCTCTTAATGGAAACAAACCTGCAAGGCTCTAAACATCGATTAGCCACTCAGTCAGACCAAATGGGCACCATCAGAAACAATCTTACTAACTTCTGCTTTTATACATTCCCAGAATTCAAAAGGTATATAAACAATAACTTGTTATTAAACAGTAACTTGATTAAAATGTTGCACAATAACAGACTCAGACCTTCACTGGAATGCCAAATTGTAACCATGACTGAATGTTTACAATCTGAAAGAACAATCCATTGCAAATCAATTTCTGCATTATATTCTGTCTCTTTTGGAGTTAGGTTGATCAGATTTTTGCAATACAAAATAGGGAAACCTTTTTTAATATTATCAGTAGTATGGATACCAAAAGGGCTGGGCAGCTGCAGAAGTCAAGTTGAGAGAGCTTAATCCTCCCATGCCTCAGTGACAAATTGGGGTAGACAAAATGGCCATAAGAAGGATTGGCACATCAGAGGGGATTCAGGGACAGGGGGATGTCTTGTTACTAGGGAATCCAGGAGGGTTTAGACAGCAGAAATAATTGAGTTGATCTACTTGTCACTTGAGCAGTAAGGAATGCCTAATTGTCACCCTTCCTCCTCACTGGTTTTCTTCCCATCTTCCTCCTGAAGTTTCCAGACCACAGCATTTCTTTCCCTAGTCCATGAAACGCCATACCTTACTTACTTTGGACTGATGTTAGGGCACCAGGACTGCTTACCTTTGGAGGAAAATGTATTGTCCATCTGTTTCTAATCATGGCGCCTCTCCATTGATTAGCTTCACTTGTATTATTTCATAGCTGATTCAGATGAGTAAGTAGATCCATAGGTGTATGCTGGCAAATATGAGTACACATAGCCATGGGTGTGTACCCACCCATGTGTGTATGTCCATACATATATATACATGCCCATTCCCATGTGTATGTGTGTCTATGCTACAGACATGTACGGCTTTGTGTGCTCTCTTGTGGGTATTTTTGTGTGTTGATGCTTTGGTGTGTCTGTATACTCATAGGTATGAGTGTACATGCCCATATACATCTATGTCTATGTGTGCCCTGGGGCATGCATGTATTTCTGTGCATATGTGTTTCTGTATTTACATATGCTTATGGGCATATGTATATGTGCCTATATTTGCCTGTGTTTCTAATTCTGGATTGCCAAGTCTCAAAATTTCATTAAAACAATGAGGAGTTTGGTGGCACCTTAAAGACTAACAGATTTATTTGGGCATAAGCTTTCGTGGGTAAAAAACCATTTCTTCAGATGCATGGAGTGAAAATTACAGAAACAGGCATAAATATATATTGGCACATGAAGAGAAGGGAGTTACCTTACAAGTGGAGAACTAATGTTGAATGCCAATTAGGTAAGGGTGGATGTGGTCCACTCCCAATAATTGATGAGGAGGTGTGAATACCAAGAGAGAAAATTGCTTTTGTAGTGAGCCAACCACCTCCAGTCCCTATTCAAGCCCAAATTGATGGTGTTAAGTTTGCAAATGAATTCTCAATACTTTTCTTGAATCCCCAGCAGCTGGAATCAAGTGATTTTCAAAGACTCTTAACTTGCATTTAAAAACAAAAACAAACAAACAAACCCCCAAGTCTGCAGTCCTCCGGGTTGTGGAGTAAATCTGTTAAACATGAACCCTAAAGACTCCACCACCACAAAACAAATAAAAAGAACCTAAAATTATTATTGTTGAGCCATTTTTACGATTTTGGAACAACTGGGGTTGGCAATACCGGTCTTTGTACACCGCTGGCTACACGTGCCTGTGCGTGCACATGCCCTCACACGGCTGCCCCTCAGAAAAGTCTGGATTTCGCGCGTGGGCTGTGCGAGGCCCGGCGTTACACGGTGCGGTCCCTGCAGGCCCCGCCCCCTGGGTTACGCGAGAGCCCGGCCTGGCCTTTGGTGAGTTTATCTTGTTGCTAATGGCAACAATCCTGAGCAATGTGAACTCGGCGCTCGACTACCGAGTCTGGGTCCAGCACGCTGGCCCGGTTTTGTTTCTCTCTCTAAGAGCTCGATCTCGTTCTCGGCTTTAGATTAATCGTGCCCACCCAGCGCGCCGTGAGTGTTGTTGTTGGAGGCAAAATGGCGGCGGCGGTAGCCGGGGCCGCCCTGCTGGGCAAGGGGCTGGACATCAGCCTGGCGGCGCTGCAGCGGCACGACCCCTACATCAGCAGCATCGTGGACGTGGCCAGCCAGGTGGCGCTCTACACCTTCGGGCACCGCGCCAACGAGTGGGTGCGTGAGATGAGATTCCCCCCCCCCGGGCCAGGAGCCCCCCATAGCGGGTAGGGCAGGTAGCGGGGAGACCCCCCCACACACAGGAGGGGGGGAGGGAGCTGGGAGACATCTCCCCCACACATATACCGGTTTGGGGAGGGCAGGCAGTGGGGAGACCCCCCCCCCCCGACGTGGGGAGGGCACGAAGCGGGAAGACACCCCACACAGACACACACGTGGGCAGTGAGGGAGCTGGGAGGGATGGTGGCTGAAAGTCTTGGGGCCGTATTTCTCTTCTTTAATTTATAAAATTTAATATGCTCAGTTATAAAGGCCCACGGCCACTGTGAAACCCGAAAGGGGAAAAGAACAGTTTCCGGTTGTCTCCCGCACTATTCTGAAACTAAACACCAGAGAAAAGCTGGTGAGAGGATAGTTGGGAGAAAGAAGAGGTGGCCGTCCCTCCCCCATGCTGGCTTGATGAACTTTAAATTCATAGGGGTGTCTATTAAACAATGTGTGCTAAAGCAGGTAGCAAGTCCTTGCCCTGAAGAGCATATAGTCTATAGGTATATAGTGTATGAATACAATGCAGTGCTCTATGGAAAGTGTATTGTGACTGGAACGCTCTGTGGAGTGGTGTATGGGTATATGATTTTTGGAAGCACAGCATATAATTCCAGATTTACCAGTAATGTGGTACCAATGTTCAAGAAGCAGCAAATGTAACAAATCTTCATGATAAGAATACTGTTTATAGACGCCCTGATCTAGTAAAGGATTTAAGTATGTGATTAACATGCTGAAGTCCGTGGGACTTCTTATGCAATTAAAGTTAAGTACATGCTTAAGATCTTGTCTGCATGTGGGGTAGTGTACTGTATGGGTGTGTTGTGTGAGTTCTAAAGATCACTAATGTGTTGAGTTATTTCTTGGTCCATGTAGACTCTCTGGTGCGCACTAAAGATTCCCTAGTGTGCTTTGACATAGTGCTGTTTCCGCAGTGCTATGTTAAAGCACACCAGCAGGGTCTGCATAGCCCAAGTAATGCACAACACATTAGTGGGCTTTAGAACTCAGACCCCCTTAAAGCACATTAGTTACAGCATAGAGAAGCGTGAGTTATTTCCTAGATCAGGGCCACAGCGAGGACCATACACATTGAACTAACTTCCTTTCTCTCCTAAGTCTCTTCCAGTTTATAGCACAGTCTTGGATTCATTTGATAGCAAATACAATATAGTTTCAATTGTTATCCTTTCATTTTCATGTGCTAAAATTTCATAAAATTCTCCATTTGTTTAAAATTTTCCACAATTGGTCTCTGCCCAAAGGTTATTAATTTGGGGGAAATTGACAGAAATCTTGTCAGCTGTTTTTGAAAGTTATATACAATGAAAAAATACAGCCTAGCCTCTGTGTATTTAAAAAACAAACAGCCAGATTTGTTTTTGGAGAAGAAATTCAAATATGGCTGAACTTTGAAACTTGGCATCAACCTAATCTTTGGTGAGAAGTATGTCCATGATTAAATTTAAAAAAAGTCGTTGGAAATTTCAACATTTAATCTAAAAATTGTGAACATTTGAAAATTGAACTGTGGACATGCCTAATACAAAATGAGCACTCATAGAGAGATGGACCATTAATGAGGGCTTTTCCTCCTTAGAAAAGCACTCATTTCAATGCACTTTAATAGCTACTGATTGGTGCCTCCTAGTTAACCCAGTGCACACTCTGTTGAAGAACTGAGCTGGTGTATGTCATTGACAAGCTGAAATGAACAAGCTTTCTCTGCATTTCTTTTCTTTCTCCTTCCCTTCCTCTATCTTTTGTCCATTGTCTTCATTCGTATATTAAGGACTTTTAGCCAGAAGGAAGCAGATACTATCTAAATCATGTAAGAAAGAGAAAATTAAATAAATAGTTAATGCAGCATTAAGGTTATCCAGTCAGAAATGATAAAAAGACAGTAAATGCAAAAGTTAAAAGATTTCCAGAAAAACAGCTGCGTTGCACATATGTAGTATTTTGTAGTCCTGCCTTTCTTTAAAATCTGTTGCTTAAAATATTATACACACATAAAACATATAAGATATATAACTGGGAGTCTTAACTCCTGCATTTCCTGTCTTTTTGTTATTTTAATTGTGTAACCTTAACATTATACGCTGTAGAGCTTTGTGTCTAAACTCTGATCCCTTGATCTCCTCTGTTCAAGTATGCCTGTACAGGCTTTTGTTGTCTTCAGTGGCACTCTGCATTGGCGATTGCATGGGCAGACCCCGATAACAATTAGATTATAGGACTGGAATCTTATTTAAATAGACAATTTTGAGTAAGTCACCCCTCAAATATAAATGTTATGGATATGTTGTTGTTTTTAAAGGAAGTCCTACAAAACCTAATAGCGATGTTGTCAAGAGTCTTTATTTCAGTAAAAACTTTTTAGATTAAAATATTACACTGCAGTGAGAGAGAGAAGAAGGGGGGGAAAACACAAATGCAATGTGCTGGTAAATGAGGATAAGAAAGTTAAACTGATACTAGGAGGAGGTGAAGCTTACCAGTCCATTTTCAAAGTCTGCACTGAGTTACGGGCAAAAAATAAATATTGAAAAGTATATCAGTATATTTTTAAAAAATATAAGACATTAGTAATACAGATGATATTTAGAAAAAAAGATTATCTTGAGTGTCCCATTAATATTTTGTCAGACTGAATATGCGTAGGTCAGAGTGTGATAATGATTTCACCTAACCCCTGTGCATACAGCAAATAGAGCTGTGTATGAAAAACTTACTTAAAGTTTTTTTTCCCCAAATTGATTTTTAACTCTGCTGACTGGCTAATGCTGATGGGGTTAAAACAGTGATCAAAACTGGTTTAGGGAAACTATGTTTAAGCATGATTTTCAAATGTAACTCTATCTTTGTGTGGACAGAATTTTATGTAGTATTTTTCATCTAAAAGGATCCCAAAGAGCGTGTCTCCAAAATGTTTGTCCCTGGACCAGAAAAGCTTACATATTTTAAGCAAGTGGGATATTATGTGTCAAATGGAATACAGAAGCATAAATATACTGTCACTTTCTGACATCCAGTAGATCAGGAAGAGACACTGAAGTTTCTTTTTTTAAATGACAACTCATCAATTATCTTGGCTGACAGGATATCAGGAGAAAAAATTAGATAAGAAGACAACTGTGAGATTTTTTGTCTTCAAAAAAACCAGAACTAAAAATAAAAAAATGCAGAGCTGATGGTTTTCATGTCTTATAGTAAAACCTGATTCAGCTGAAGGATGAAGGGGAACTATGGTAGTTGTAATCTCTTACTAGCAAATCCCTGAAATTTGGTTTAATTATTTCTTCATTTCAGTCAGAAATATGTAACTGTCATGGTCTTTGGGAACAGGAAGATAGTGGTGGCTTATTTATGGTTGACAAAATAATAGTTCCTGTGCTTCCTATTGCTTCATCAGCAATGGACTATGAATATGGCAGTAAATCCACTTTTCTCCTCTTCATAAGGATAATCCCTTTTATTACTGCTGTCTTTGTTGTATTAATGATCCAATATGTTAAATTCACTATACCAATGTGTGTCTTATGCCTGGTGGTGACACTAAGCGATTGTTTTGTGGAAAACATTGGTTTTCCTTCACCTTATGAATTTTTATTTGAATTACTTGAATGTTTCTTTTATTTTAGGAGAAAACTGATGTGGAAGGAACACTCTTTGTTTACACAAGGTGAGAATGTTACATTTTAATGTCTGAACATGAAATCTATGGAAGGAGAAAAGCCTGCTAAAAAGAATCCTTAAGTAACCACTCTAAATCCAGTCTTATTACATGGTGAAAAGGAATAACTGAAGTTAGTTTGAAATTGTCAGAGACAATGCAGGGAAGGGACGATTGAAAAGGAGAACGTCACTTTGTACGTGTTCATGTGGATAAGGCTTGGAAATGTAATTTAGACCTCAGTATGGATGAATCTGATAAATCTTGACAAAGTTCTATTTAAATAGGATGTAACATTTGTCCTTTAGAAGGTTTCAGAACAAAAAAGCTAAATGGCAGAGTATATAATAGTGCTCATCAAGGTTAAGGAAATGGCAGGACTTAATACAATTGTAATTGTTTCCTGGATAGGGGAAAGTTCATGCATTTTTCCTTACATTTGCCTCGGTATCAAATTACTTACAATGTGGTTATCATGCATGTTTCACCCCAAGTGTTAAGATATTCTCAGTGGCTCTTGTTTCTAACTGCTCTGGATGTTTGTTTTAATTTCATGGTTCAGTTTTATATTACATTTGTTGTTTTCTAACTCTTCACCTCTTAATTGAAGGCAGGGTTGTTTGGGGAGGTGGGGAATAATTTAATGGATTTTAAGGCCAGGAGGGACCATTAGATCATTTAGTCTCATCTTTTGTACCATACAGGTATGTTGCAATGCCTGCTCTATCATCAGTGTGCTGGGCTTGCTGTTGATGTAACGAGCAGAAGATCAGGCAGCTAGCAGACATAGGGTTGCAGCTGTTAGACTTGGGTAGTCGAACAGGTAAGTGGATTTCCTCCCTCCATTTGTTTTTTCTTGAGGATCCATCTAGGAGAAGGATGGGGACTGAGGAGGCAGGAGGTCCCTCTGATTGAGTTGGGAAGAGAGGGATATGGAGGTGACAAACACCATGTGAGGCCAGGTGTACAGTGGACCCAATCTTCTACTAGGGAGTATGGGAGCTTACTTTGATCTCTAGGCTCCTTCCTACCCAGCAGCAGAAGCCAGTACCAGCACCTCCCCACACCCACTCTTCTATTCATCTGTGTAGAGAAGAACAAGAATGGATGAGGTAAGAGATGCTGTTGTAGCTGCCACTGCTGGAGGAAGGAACTATCTCCTGTGTCTGCTGCTTGTGGCAGGGTCTGGCAGATCAAAGGTGCCTTGCCCACTCCATAGCAGGAATATAATTCTCTTGTACACTGGACCTGAATTTTGGAGCTGTCTGCAACTAGCCTCCTGCTTCTAGTCTGTCATATTGGTGCCCCTCCACCACTCCGGTTCCTTTTCTGGGTCCTGAGAAGAAGGAAGTTGAGGAAGGATATTCACTTAGCTGTTGCAGTGTCTCAGTCTAGTAACTGCAGTCTTTTCTGCTCAGTTCCACCTATATTCTTAATCACAGCACTCAGAGTTAACCCTTTCCTAGCCCTTGCCTTTAAGCAGGAAATAAAGGCACAGGCTGGAAAGTAGAATGAAGACATTCAATTACATAATTAAACTGAAAAATACATGGTTAAAAAAAAGAGTTTAATAAAATAAAGAGCGTTACAAAAATGAAAAGTGATAGACTAAAACTATAATCTTTATTTTGAAAGACTACTTCGAGGAAATGTTTCTACCCTAGGGGCTGGTCTTCACTACTGGGAGATCGATGCTGCTTCAATCAATGAAGCAGGGGTCAGTTTAGCGGGTCTTGTGAATACGGCAGAGCACTTTCCGGTCAACCCTGGTACTCCAGCTCTCCGAGAAGAGTAAGGGAAGTCGACCAGAGAGTGTCTCCTGTCGACGCAGTGCAGTGAAGACACCAGGGTAAGTCGACCTAAGCTACGTCAACTCCAGCTACGTTATTCACGTAGCTGGAGTAGCGTGACTTAGGTCAACTGACCCCAGTAGTGAAGACAAGCCCTAAGTGTCAATTATCTGCTTTCTGTTGGGGATGATGCCAAAACACTCAGAGATATACAAGTCTGGCTATTACCATCAAGTATTCTTTCTGTCACTCCCTTCCCTTGTCTCCTTCTCTTTGACAAGAGAATACCTGATTTTATTTTCAGTGGATCCTGGGCTCTTAGCAATTCTGAGCAAAAAATGCCAAATACACCAGCATACACAGCACAGTTTAATGTGGTTTGGCGTTGTCCAATCTAATTCCCCCATCTAATTATGTTCTCTAGTTTTATTCATTTACAGCATTGTTTTCCCCAGTAATAATATTTAGCTCTTCTACATAGGGTGTCTTCTCTCTAGATCTCTTTTCAAACAATAACTAAGTAGTCCCCTTCACATTTTAGTGTCAGTTAATGTTGAAAAGGCTTATAAAGTTTACGTCTTAGCACAATAAAAATCATCTGTTCATACCTGTTGGAAACTGGGGTGGGTACAACTGAGGAAGTCCTTTCTACAGATGTTGTAGTAACAAATCCATTCTCACTGCTATTTTGGAAATGTGAAAATGTCTAGCATTTCAGTTAAATAAACTGGTTTATTTATCATCTGCGTCTCTTTGTGAACTGTAAAAAATACCTTTACCCTAAATGTCAAAAATGAGACCTGTTAGGGATAACATTAAAAGACTCAGAGAAATACAAATCTGGCTATTACCATCAAGTATTCTTTCTATCACTTCCACCCTTTGTTTCATTTTCTGTTGCCTCCCTTCCTGTAATGCAGGTTCCTGTGCTTTGGAGTTAATGAAGACACCTGCTGGTGATTACTGTACTTGGCACTTATCCCAAACATTTAGTCAGTGTCTTGTCCATCACTGTCAAACTCGGTTCCAAAGTAACATCTCCTATTAGCATCAGAAGTAGAGTGTGGGATTTCTGCTCTTATGTCACTTAGGGAGTTTTGAAAATCCCACCTGGAGTGACTTGTATAATTCATTATCTTCGTGTATTAAAAAAAAAAAAGTAAAAATTGTAATTAATTTTGTTCCACAACTGTATCTCCAATATCCCTTTTCTGCTGCAGTGGGAAAGTGTAGACCAGTTCTGATCCTTGGATACTATGACACCAATGATCTGAGGACAAGTTTAACATTAGTAAGTTATTGCCCATTCCTAAAGTTGTAGGCCTTAGAACTTGCTGTGAATGCAGGGCATGCACAAATAATTAGGATTATGACTAGAGGCTTTGGGACTCAAACTATAGCACCTCAGATGCTGCAGATTATGTATAAAAAAAACAGTCATTGTGGCCACAGTTATCTATGTCATTTTTCATACAGAGCTTACGGGTTTGAAGAAAGCAAAAGGATTCCACAAAGGAACCAAAAATTCTGTCAGGCTCCAAGACTGTTATTCAGTTTCCTCCCTGGCAACATAGTTAGAATTTATATAACAACTTCTATTGAAATAATAATTTTGGAGCACTGTCTGACAAAGAAGTGGTACTAATATTTTTCCTTGACTTGCTATGATTTCTGCTTGGTAATTTACAGATCAGCTTCTCCCAGGCATGGCTTCACCATTATGAACAGGCTGAGCATGGAAAATCGAACAGAACCCATCACTAAAGACCTAGATTTTCAGCTGCAGGACCCTTTTCTGCTTTACAGAAATGCCAGATGTGAGTCTCTCTCTTCTATCCATTGGGTAAAGTGTTTGAGAAATAAACTCTTTAAAGCATTCCAATGACTACTAGTGCATTTAGTCTATGGCTTTCAAGAGCTGACATTGGCTTGTTCAGGAATTGCAACCCAGAGGGGCAAATTTCGATATTTGACATGCCAAATCAAGGGAGGAGTGGCTCTTTTTTTCAAAGTGCCTCTCTTCTTGAGAAAGTAGGTAAACATTGTTAAGCCATTAATCCGTCTCTTGGCTGACAAATAGTAGACTTTATGTGCTAAAATACAGTGTAATATAGATATATGTAGAAATCTTGTCATGCAGTATGTTTTTTTGAGTATGTCTGAATTGGTATTTGGAAGACTTCCCTTAAGGGGAAGCCACTCAAGATGGGGTGGTATAGCTGATCTCTGATTTCATTGTGTGTGCTGGGCAACACTGGAAAAACACTGCCAATTCAAAACCCTGCCTTCTGGTTTGGCTACAGCTCCCTACCCTGTTAGCCAAACTAGTGGGTGTTATTGACTGTTGCTCTCAGGAAGGAAGGCAGGTTTGTCCATCCGTTTTTGGTTGACTGGCTCATTCCAGGCTAGGATCTGCAGGCATTAGCAGTATATAAGGTTCAGTCTTTCCTGGGGTTATTGGAGCCATCTGACTGTCACAAACAAGGGCCAAGAGCTTCCTGAAGCTCTCAGGAGCTAGTTTGCCCAAGAGGCCATTTCAGTGTGTAGCTAGGCAAAGCTTGCCTGCAAGAGCCAGTGGTTCAGAAAATGAAGGGTTATGTCTCTGCACTCATGCAGGAGATCTGTACCATGGCACAGGCTTGTCTTCAGGTCCTAAACTTTAAAACAGTTTGTATGGAGTCCTCTGAACCTGCCTTTGTGTGCATCTGAAATCTAGAAGTGTTCCAGTTGGATGTGATAGAACCAGAAGATATGTCATAGTATCTCACCTGGAGCACATTGGGTTATATTCATCAGAGAGACTATCTATTCCCAAATATAATTTGAAGCAGGAAAATGCAGCAAGAGGGAGTTCAGTGGCTCTGAATCACTGTGTGGTAGAAATGATTGTGGAAAAGTGAGAACATCATGTACTGTCAATAAATCCTCTACCTTTTGAAAGTATCTGAAAAGCTGAAAAAGAGGTGAGTGGTGGTACTTGAAATTTCCCAGGGAAACTGGAAGTAAATCCAGAGGACATCGCCAGGCTGCCCCCCGCCTCTACTTGTAGCCATTAGTAAGATTTTAGAATGGTAAGTAAGGTAGGGACTAGTTATCACTCCAGTTGGTGGATTTTTAAGTTTCTTACCTATATACATGCAAAGTATTTCCCTTATGTTATGTGTATATATCATTGTAAAAATGCCCAGTGGTTTTTTTGTGTGTGTGTGTGTATGCTTAAAACTTACATTTTGATGTTAAATTTAAGAAATGAGAATAAGATCTTGTCATTTGTACTAACCTTTGTCTCTTTTCAACGGTGAGAAACAATAATTAATGATAGCGAGAAGCAGTCTATTGTAACGGTGTAAAACACACTAACATAGAGGGAACAAGAAGTCATCCCTGAACACTGCATTATAGACAAAATGAGCATTATTTGATGGTAGCATAATTCATTAAATTTTCTTCTCAAAATGTAAACTATATATTCCCTGCAAGACATGCCAGAATTTTAGAACTTCAAGATCATAATAGCACCAACTCCTTACAGTTGGTCAGTGCTCAAGCTATTTGTCTCTATTTCCAGATCTGAAGTAAGTCTACCTTCTATATCCCCCTGCCTAGCTCATAGGTCTGTCTGGTTGGGATTCCTGCGTTGGCCACAAGGCAGCTCAGGGCGGCTGATGTTTGTAGTGGATTTTTTGTTGGTTTTTATGTTTGCTTGTTTTCATGAAAAAACAGACAGTGAAAAGTACAAAGAAGTAAATGACTTGATTTGTATATGTTTCCAAATACCACACATTTCATGAGGTCTCCAGTAGAATTATGGAATTATGCAGTTTTACAACTTCTCAAAGCAGCGAGACCATCCAGTACAAATCCAGACAATACTATATAGATATAACATATTATGTTGGGGGTAACAGTAATAAAATAGGAGAAGACATAAATGAATAGGGAAATGAGGGGACTGGGGTGGGAGGAGGGGAAAAAGAGGAGGGATTAGGTGGAATGAAGGTCTAGCATTCTATGACTATTAGAAAAACACCTTACCAATTAACCTCCAGAAAATAAGAGCAGTCTGCAGTGCTTTCCTGCATTTCAGTGCAGCCTGAAGGGCAATGCACTGAATGCAGACAAAAAGTGTTCCTATAATCACTTGTATCGTACTGGAGAGTGCAGGAAAAGAGGCATAGCAGCAGACTCTCGCAGACCCATATGTGGTTAGAAAGAAACCTTATCTCCTTCTCAGCTATATACACATAGATGGGGAACTAGACTGCAGGATAGACAGGATGAGTCACAACCAGAATCATCTGGAGAATGACAGCTGTTGGGAAGCATAGTAGTATAGTTACTTATTTATATTATCTTATTTATAGTACTGTAGCACCTAGAGGCTCCATTGTACTAGTAGTTGTACAGGTGTGTAGTAGGAAACAGTACCTGACATAAAGAGTTTACAATCTAAATTTAAAGATCAGATGCAACAATTTTATTTAACAAACATGTTAAGGGGATGGGAGAGAGTGGACAGGGAAGCAGTGACACAAACATGTTTTTGCATAAATTAGCTGTGCTCATGAATTGGCAATGTATGGTTACTCAGAGGAATATAAAGATCCCAAAATTCTTCTTTCCAATTAGGGATCCCTTAGCCATGAGAGCCAATGCCTTCTTGCAACCATAGCACTTCGTCTTAGCTTATGCCTTCCATCTGGTGAGGGTAAGATAGAGAAAGCACCAAGATCCTCATCCACTGTACTTCTGGTATTGTAAAAGTTCCTTCCACTTTCCTTTCTGGGGGGACTTATTTTCTCAGGACCAGCTACTCCACCAGAACCTGAAATCACCTATGTCGGTCACTTGGCTTGAGTGGTTGACTGCATAAAAGGAGTCATAGGTTGGCTGTGTTATAAGTCCATAAGCCGGCTTCTTCCCGTGCTTATTACTGTCAGATATGTTCCAGGTGCAGGGATAGACATTTGAGCCCTGGTTGTTCTAGTGCTCTTTTCCCCCACCCCCCTACAAAATAGTCTAGTAAAAGTTTGAGCACTCACTCTGAGTGCAAACTGCAACTTTTCGTGCTTTATTGGGGGCAAAATAATTCCTCTATTGGACTCCCCTAGAAATAGTCACATTCCTTAAGATAGTGGACAAATTCAAGCCCTCTGCGATCTGAGCTCCTTACCTTTCTGGGATCTAAGGCTAGTTTTGAACATCCATGGATTTTCACCCGTCCTCCCCACAGTATCAGGCCTCTGAGGCCAGTGTCCATGTGACTTTTTGCCCTTAAGACTTATCTTCCTAGTGTCCATTGCTCAATTAAGAGTGTTATGGAACTTCCTGTAGGTAATTTAGTCTTTTACCAAGCCAAAGCGATGATCAAACAAGTCCCTCCTTTCCTGAGGTTTTTTCCTTTGTCAAACTTGCTCATGTTGTGTTACTTACTTCCCTTAGACCCTTTGTAAAGGATGAATACTAGAAGCTGCCGCATATTGTAAATGTGAGAGGCCTTTCAGGTCTACCTAAAAGATTATGGGAAATCAGGAGCCAGACCATTTATTTCTCTATGGAGAGAGGTAGAAAAACTTAAAAGTCTTTCTTATGTGTCAGAGGCCCATGTGACCAATAAGATTCCTTTCTAGGAGTTGGAGCCCACTCTGTTAGGGCAGAAAAAAGTACGTGCCTCTTCTCTGGAGTTCTGCAGAGTTATGACCTGAACATCTCTTCACCTTTTTCTATACATCTCACTGTAGTGGCAGTAATCTGGAAATGCCTTCTTGGCAGGTGGTGTTGCTTGCCTACCTCTGATGGGTCAGTATATCTCAGTTCTCTCATAATGTGTCTGGCCTTTGAAGTGACCAGTTGACTGAACTAATTTACAGTGCATAGGAGAAACGCAATTTACTTTCTAATTTGACTATTCCTACTCTTCTTTAGGTCCAGACAGAGTCTACCCAAAATTGCTTGACTAAAGTGTGAGGAACTCTGGTCTTTTTCTTCCTTATCTATTTTAGAGACCTTGTTTTTTTAAAAATGTATTGATTGTAGCAATCTTAAAAATATATTTTCACTAGTTAACTCATCCTCACAACATTACTATGGATTTCCAGCTCAAGCAGTACTGTAGATCTTTTCATCACATATTTTTTTATTTCCAGTATTCTCACTAAGTTGAGGTTTTGGGATGCCCCCTACAAACTGGAATTTTCAATCAGAATTAGCTCCTTTTTAGGGATTAATATTATAACTTTTATTTATTTATTTCCTGCCTCCATCTGCTTGCTAAAGGGACATGCAATAATAGCTACTTGCCCACTGAGGGCTGGGAGCAAAATTAGTAGATACTTTAAGTAAATTACCTTTATTCTAGCCTTTCATTAAATTGTCTGAGTCTTTAATTATTTGCTGTATTTATCTTCCTATTATATATGATTTAAATCATACATTTTCCTCTGTGCTTTAACAGTTCAGCAGTACAATTGCTTTCCTTTATAAGAAAACTAGCAGTTGATATTTGTAAAAGTTTATTCTAAGTGTAAATTTCAGAGATAGCTGAAAGCAAACAGTATGATTGAGGGACTGAATAAATCCTGTCAAATTGCAGCATTCTGTTGAACGATCACTGAAACCGGTTTGATTTCAATGCAGATGGATATCTGTAGCTCATTGTATCACATAATCTGAAATAAATGCACTCAGCAGCAAGGGATTGTATTACTGTGCTGGATAAGTCTAACATACATGTTGCATTATATTTATCCTTTAGAAGGACTGTACTTGCAACCAATATACAATAACAATAGAAAAAGTTTCAAAAATTATATTCAGT